AGAGAGATGAAGAAAATAGAGTAAAAGAATGGGTGGTGGGAGAAAGGTGGGGTGGGGAAGATAAAAGGAGGAGAGAAAAGATGCAGTAGAAGGTGGGGGAAAAAGAAGGGGTGAATAAGAGGAGAGAGGAGAGGTAGGGAGATTGGGTTAGTAGAGGGAGAGGGGAGAAGGGAGTGATACCTGGCCCTTGGTGTCTCCAAGGGCACAAGGTACACCAAGACCAGGAGGGTCTTGGTCTTTGCTGCAGCAGGCAGTTGGAGGAGAGAGGGGCCTGAGGTCTTGATCAGCCCCCAGCAGCACTTCTGCAGATGTGTAGATGTAGGGTCTGCTGTGTGAGCAGGCCCTCTCCACTGTGGAGCAGCCCCCTAAGCAGGGCGGTCTTCAGTCCCACCATAGGCGGCCACGTGGCCGTGGAGATGGCCACGTGCACAAGCAGCAGCAGGCATGGGGGGGCGGTGTAAATAGCCCGTGCTATAGAGCCAGGGACACACTGTGGCGAGTGTGTTATGAGGCTGCTTACGCACGCGCATGGCTCGGCAGGTGCCTGGGTTGACATTGCTGTTTTGTGACATTTTATATCCTAGGTTGCATCGCATGGACTCAGCATGGAGCTTTCTTTTTTTTGGTAGAGTTCCGCTTCTTGGCGGAAGCATGTTTGTATCTAGGCGATCCATCACAAGCCGAGGATCGTGTAGCGGACCTCGGGTTGGCCTGTGAGACCAGCCCCTTGGCCTGTTCTCACAGGCCTATGTTGTATTCGGGGTAGGTTGATCCAATCAACCGCCCGTTCCCGCCGATCGTAGACACTTGAAAAGACGGAACTACTGGTGCGAACGGAGAAAATAATTGCTATCATCTGAGATTCAGCAGGGCTGATCATTTCGGTTTCTTTGGTTTCGACGTCAGTCTCTGAACCAACCGAAGTTGGTTCCACAGTTAGTCTCGTTAGATCCGTCATCTCTTGCATTAGATCGGGTACATCATCTACCGGTGCTTCTGCTTCCTGTTTAATCAATGCGATGGTGGCTCCTGTCGTTAGTACCGATCTGGGCGGAAAAACAGACACGTCCAAATACTGTTCCGTTTGCTGTTAACGCGTTCGTAAGGAAAGTGCTCCCTCATACAAGGTGCGAGGGGGTTCCAAGTCATCATCCAGGTCGGATACTTGCAATATGGGTTCCCCGAGGAGGACAAAAGGACTTATTTGGGTTGTCAGAGGCGAGAGCGCGCTGTCTTCTGAATCCATGTGGAAGCTTCGGGCAGTATCGGGGCACACTTGAAATTCTTCGGGAATTTCGAGTTCGAAAAGTTCGACCAGGTGCTTCCATTCATCCTCACTAGGCAGTTCTTCTTCGTATTCCTGTTCCCCGATTCCGCTGCCGATATTCGAGGAAGAATACTCCTCGGTATCAACGCATCGAATCATCCCTATTTGGGTTGAGTTAGGAGTTCGTTTTATCGTTCGGGTGGAAATTCGAAAGGGAACAGTTTGAGGCTTTCCC